CTGCCACGAGTTACAGAACAGTCAGCCAGTCTTTCTTTACATTAAAGGTTGTTTCTGGACACCATCCTACTCCAGACATCTGTCAGCAAGAGGGGAGCTTTGATAAGTTCACTAATACACAGATTCCAAGGAATCGGTGGCAAGAACGTTAGATTTAGCATTTGAAGAATGAGACCGAAACAAGCGGAACCGGGTTTGCACAGCTCTGTTCAAACTGTCGTTAACGTCAACTTTTCTTGCCCGTAATTAGCTGCCAATGTAAATACATTTCTCCCATCAATCTACATCGAGGCAATTGCTAGACTTCAATTGTATCAGCCCGTCTTGAACTGTATTGGAGCCAAGACGTTCATTTACTGCGAAAAGGGTAGCAAAAAAGATAAGAACATGGTTGTTGAAGCCTTCGATCAGTGTGTGAGCATGTCTTTCTGCCTGATCAGCGTTTCAATTCATGAGAATCGAATAAAGTTTTCTGAATCGGTACAGTGCAGCAAAACCTCGGCAACTGCTCTTCTATTCCTTTTCCCGGATCTTTCTATTCCCAGTGTGACTTGGGCTGTGAAGAAGCCCTATGACCCGTTCTACGTTCAAGGGCTTTCATCTTCTGAGGGTTTGGACATGTTCGGAATATTGCTTTGGCACTTTTCAAGGTTACTTTTTGCTAGTTCAGCTTGAAAACGAAATTGCTGCTGGAAGACGAACCTGCCAATTTGGTTTCCCGACAGCAAGCTTGCCTGCCCTTTGGGTGATTTCTTCTTGTTTTCACTGACAGAAGCCAGTTCTTGATGGGGTGCCAGCTATTTTCGGAACGCTGGCTTACACTTGTCGGAGACAATGGAAGACGAATGCGACCTTATACACCACAGCATGAAACGATTCTGGCTGGGTCAATGGTATGTCCGTTAGCTCAATGCACTACAGTAAACACCATATTTACAGCTTTGCTAGAGGATTTCGGGATGCCACTGAATAGTCTACCAAACTGAACGTTTTTCAAACGAAAATACATCCAGAAACAAATGGGGAAATGTATGCCTTGGCTGAAAGTTCAGCTACAGTAGCGTTTCAGTCCACACTAAATAATCAGAAGCTTCTCAACGAATAAGGAAGTCCTAAATTAATCCATATGACAAGATGGACCCCTCTGCAACCACTGGCGTCAACTGCTCCTATCCACTAAGTAAAACGACAACAAAAATTTTGTTCGAACCTTGACCGTACCAAATTACCTCACCAGTGGGAATTACAGATTTCAGCGGCTTTTACCGAGCTCAAAGCAGGACTTACCTGAACAGCGAGATTAAAACCACCCTCCAATTAGGTCTGGAAACTGGAAAACTGATTTCTCACCGTACCCTTTACGTCGATTGTTATTTTGCTGAGTTACTAGTTTACTTACAGCCAATAAATAACTAAATACAATCATTTTATCAGCGTAGACAATGAATAGAAATAGTTCGATAATGGTGAAAGCTCAGGCGAAGATGGTGAAGTAATGCCACGTGATGCACCATTCCAATGAACTTTACCCAGTGGGAATTATTTGGATTAATGTATTGTCTAGAAGAAAGTCGAGTTCCGGGCGCATCCCAAAAACAGTATTGTTTATCCTGTGCAGGTAATACAAGTTTGCGAGGTATAGTACAGTCATCAAAAACGCATGAATGTCAGTAAAAATAAAGCGGGAATAATGAAAGAAACTCGGTTAGGAGCTAGATTGCAGAGATCAGTGTTACAGCAACATTTCTTCGTCGAGATTTCATTAGCATGCGATTTCGTACAGGTGACACTCTGGAATTTGACTTTTTGTTTTGATCGACACAGTATTTTTGTCATTCGGAGACGTAAAAACACCGAGAAACAAAGCTTGATGACTTCCGTATATGCTCAGTTAGACAAAAAAACCCATAACAATCGCGTCAATAAGGCAAATCTAGAAGTTTCATCAAAACAAAAAAAACTTTCAACGCACAGATTTATTTAAAGTAGCGGTGAATGTAAGTAGAGTGATCGACCCCAAATTCCCATCAGAGCCTATATTATCTTGAATATCCACGGGGACAGGACGGTGAATGGTGCTATGTAGTCAAAGTTGTAATAGGAACATAAACAAAAATAGACATACACTGGAAAAAAGGTTGAACTTAGATCCCAACAATTCCAGGGGGAATGCTGCTCAATCTCTGCTAAGCTCAGTGCTCATCGTCCAGATCTTGCTAAGACTAGTCTGAATGTTCTCGTTATATCTTATCTACGTTTACAGTCAGCGAAATTTCAGCCTGCGCGCCGAGCAAGACATGCGAATCGATTGGCGGGGCTCCACCCTGTAGGCGCAGCAGCTTCAAATGTGCTCCCTTCTCGCTAGTATGACTTTTTGACGCTTTCAGAAGAGATCAAGTGTGAAGATTCGGTCGCCAGCATTCGCCGTTCTGCCACTCGATGTTTCGAGTCCACGTACTCTTGGGTGAGGGCCAAAAGACTCACTATCGCGTTGACTTGAGCGAAAGCTTCGAGAGTGTTTGCTAGCTGCCCCTGGTTGAATTATCGTGCTTACTAGGTGTTCGGAGGTGGAGTGAGCAAAATTTAGAGATTTTATATTATTTCCACTGAAAGCTTACCTCACATGTCGTGCGGGAGTACGAATTATTTGCACAAGAAGCTGTGTAAACGTTTTCATTGTTGCCTTCATCATAGATGCTTAGACAGAATGTAGGATTTGAACACTGGACGATTTGCTGCAATGTTATTCATTATTCTTTCAAAAACTTATATTCTCCTATAGCTGGGAATTACAGAAGCACAATATTCTTCAATTTTCAAGACGAAAAAAATTATAAACAGAGTCAACCTTATCTCCATAGAGAATACGGCCTCCGATTTGACGATCAACGAAATTATAGCATTCCAGTGAAATTGCCAGTGGCAGTAGAAAAGAGTAAAAAAGAAGCATCAGCAACGAGGAACCGACCCATGCAACTTTATCATTTACTCGGGAGCCCGAGAATTGTCGTAAATGATGTCATTCAGTAGATAACAACGATTTCATTTTTGTCTATTGCCACGATTCGCATCTGAAAACAGAGTTAGGAGAAATAGAAAGGGGGATCTGCCTGGAATCCTAGTTTTCTCTAGGAGTTGTCCCACACTTGCTTACTATTGTGAATGCTCACCTGATTAAATAGCATTTTGGAGACTGAACGGTGCACCAGTAATCATCCTTGACTTCTTGAATGAACCTGGTACCGGTTGATCTTATACCTTCGTGTCGTTCCCATAATTGAGATTCAATTCAAGACCTACTCTCGCTGTCGGATAACCACTTGTCATCACTCCGATTGAATCCTCTATCAATATTCAGAATAGTTAAAGCGCTGACTTTCAGAGAAACAACTGTCACTATTCATTTCTCAGACCAAACTAAACTTCAAGTGCCTCCGCAATTATTAAAGGCACCGTTTACGATAAATTTAGGGTACCCTTTTTTGACGGGAATTCATAGAACTACTCTAGAATAAAGCGATAACAACGAAAAAAGCGCAAAAAACGATGAATAAAAAGAAATAGAAAGGGTCAAAAAAGAGCTGGAAAGGGGGGTTGGACGAGTTTCACATTGAGATAACGGCGGTTAGAGAGTGTTTGGGCGAGTGCACGAAGGCGACGCAATGTCTGCAATAGCAGACAACACACCCTAGCAGACACATCGCTCCAATGCGAATGTGGTGAAGGACATTTAGAACTCGTAGTCAGCCTAGCGAAGGGCGGAGGCCTCCCGTGCCCCACTGTTCCTGCCCTTATTGTGCCCTACGCAGACCGTTTTCCGACCTCATTCCTGCACAAATGGTATAAGAGGGGGCGTCGAATTCAAACCATGTGCAGATCTCCGAAACCATTTTTTCGTGAACAGTGCCTTTAAATTCATAAGGTTGAACACGCTCTACACCAGCAAAACCAACCGCACTCAGTAGGACAAAAGGTAGAAGGTAAAGAGAGTATCCTTCAATTTTGGAAGCTACTGTCCATTGCAATTTTGAGCGAATGTGGTGTGGTGGTAAGTGACGTACTGTCAGTCCTGAGATCGCATCCCAGACTGAGACATATTCAGGCTAACCAAGTCGTCCATCCCTCCACTGTCAGTTGATTGGTTTCACACTCGAATATTGTCCGAGAGGATAAAAGAACGGACTAGTACATCTATTGGCCACCGCAATTCATTGTATGGGTCGTTTACGCATTCAAACATGCTACTACGATTCTGAAT